TAAATATTTAGAAAGAAAATCTTATTACTTAAATAATCTCGCATAATTGAAGCAATATTATCTTATATAGACAATATATGTAATTTTTTTAAAAGAAAATACACGTATTTTATATAAAAAAAAATTAACTAGGATTTAAATTAAGTCAAATTAGATTGAGACACACCTAATTCACTTTTTTAAAAAATAAAATAAAATAAAATCACTTAATCTAAAATATTGTTTTTGAAAGAGAGACATGATTAATATTAAAGCTTTGAAAAATTTGAGAATCTCATAGTTGGAAGCTAAGTATTAATCTATTGAGATCTATTAAAAGTTGATTTTTTTCAACAAATATTTCTTCTTACAAACGACGAAATTTAAGGAGTAATCCTTCAAGATATGAAAATTCATTAAAGAATTGACTTTTTTTAACAAATATTTTTTCATACAGATAAATAAAAAATTAAACACTGAGCACATATTATTAATAGATTATGTTATTTATTAACTATGATATACTTTATTGGTGTATTAGTATTATAGTTGATAAAGATTCAGAATATATTAATATGTAGATTAATTAATAATGGTTTTAATTTATTCCATTTTGAATTTTTTTTTCAAATTTCTTTCATTGTTATGTGAGTCAGATGTTAGGAGTTAAAAGATAGTTTAAATGGTGTGGGAAAGGGGGAGGGAAGAAAAGTGGGAAGGACATAAAATTGAAGTAACAAGAAGATAGTGAGTTCGAATTATCTCGACAGATGTTACTTATTAATTACCGATATTTATTGATAAACAAAATAACTCACTTAACATGTTAATAACAATATATCCGGGTCATGTTTTTCTTCTCGCACGAAAAAAACAAAACAGACTGAATTAACTTGCTTTTGTTTTTTTCTTTTTCATCTCAAAGTAAACCAATGCAAATAATAAGTTAGATTGAATTAATTATCTTACTTTAGCAATCCATGTCACGTCTTGTAAATTATAATAATAAAAGTTTAGCTCACTTGATCGAATATTCTACACAAGTTGTTGTAATTCCTTAATATTTATTTAGTTTGATTGTCATGAAGAAAAGAATCTTATAAATAATATGCTTAATTTTAGCCATTTTATTCTAAAAGCTAAAACTTGTTTGGGCCAATGAAATAAATTTGGGTTGAGAATTTGAGTGTCGAATCCAAAGGACATGTATCAGGAATTATACATGCTCATGTCTTCTTCTTCTTCTTCTTTTTATTACTTTTTTTTTATTCTTTCCTTACCCCTTATTTAAAATATATTTTCAAAGAATGGTGAATTTAATTAGCAAATTGTGAAAATTTTTAAATGATGGGACTAATCTAGATTACAAATTACTTTTACAATCACAAAAAAATAAACATAAAATCTAGTTAAAAATTAAAAAAAAAAAAAATGTTCCGTGCTTTTCTGTTTATTTCATGATTTATTTATTTGTTTTATATTACTCATTAACTGCCTTTTATTCCACCAATAATCATATTTTTTTATTATTTGACGCAGTTGCATATTCTATTATAAGTTAGAACAATCTTGTGGCAATTTATCTATATACTCGGTAGCAGTTATAAATTTCTGTGATGTGACAAATGATGTTGACAAGATAAGAATTTGGCCATAAGTATTGTGGTTAAATTTTATTTTAGTTTCACCAATAAGTTAAATACAGCTTACAAGAGTCGTAAGTTATTCTCATAAACTTGTAGTTTATGTTTCGGAAAAGCCCATAAAATGCCTCTTAAATGATATACTAATATACTATTGCTTTATTGGATTCATATCTTCTATCATATTCTGATTTCAGGTCTCTCAAAAGCATGGATTAGTATTACTGTTTATATATTTAGTTGAAACTAGTGATAACCGTTGTTTTAGATGTACATCAGTTACTCTCAAAAGCATGGACTAGTATTAATTAATAAGAATCATTTTCTTTCATCCTCTTTGTTCCCTCTGATTCAATATGGTATCAGTAGGAATTGCTAAGCTTCTACAACTTTGATTCTTCATGTTTCAACAATGGAAGATCCTTCAAATCCATTGTTTCTCCACCATTGCTATGGCCATGGTCTTGTATTGGTTTAATAGTTTCTCACTGGCTAAAATTACAATAATTAGCATTTGTTGTCAATGTCAAGTGTCAAGAGTTCATTCAATTCCTCTGCTAACAATCGTAAGGCAAAGTTTCAGAAGAAGTGTTGTCCTACTTGCCCTCATTGTGGGGTCTTCGGTCACGCTGTTGATCATTGTTTTAAGCCACATGGATTCCCTCCCATTACCAATTAAAATATAAGTCAACATCTTCTCAGACACAGCCTGTGATCAGTCAAGTTTTTGATGCTGCTGCCACACAGAATCTTGACCCTTTATGCCCAAACAATTTTCACGTTGTCCACTTCTATCCTGAATTCAATTCACTCCACTTAATCTCTATTCAGAGTACTTGTCTGAGGAGAAACTTCCCATATATGTCATTAATGAGGTTATTTTTATGATATTTGTAGGGGCGTTATTTTTATAAGGTTATTACAGGTTATTTTTATAAGGTTATTACAGAAACATACTCAATGAGATATTGTCCGTTTTAGGACTTAGTCCTCATGATTTTGTTTCTGGCTCTGATACTGTTTGAGGGGAGTTATTTTTATAAGATTATTACACAAACATATTCCACAATAATAATGAAATATTGTCTGTGAGGGCTAAGTTGTTTTTGGTCATCACCCAAAAAGCCTCTCAATCATTAAGGTATGTTTGTATTATATAAGTTGTTATTTATTGTGTTATTTTATCGATGTGAGACTTGTTTCTATCCTAACAGTCATCCTAGGCGTCTTTTTCTCACTTTTGAAACATTAGACAATTCTTACGTTTTACTTCCCCAACACTACAGTAAAGTAATTGTTTGCCATGTCTTTTAATATATAATGTTCTCTACATACCTTCTTTCAAATTTAATTTTCTGTCATTAAGATCTTCGTTATCATCTCATACTTAAAATTTTGTTTTCACTTGTGAGTCCTCTTACATTCAACTTCAAGACCTGAATTTTTCGAAGATTGAGAAGGGTAACATTCAAGTTGGACTCTATGTTCTTCAGATTGGTTCCACTTTGTCATCAACCGTTAATCATTGTAACTTTGTTTCTAACAAGATCTCCTACTATACTTGGCACTCAAGATTTGCCCCTTTTGCCCCCAAAGTTTTCAATATAAATTTTTTATTAGGTGTTAAGATGCAAGTAAAGTCCCACATTATTCAAACAAGATGATGGACATAAGTTTACATACACATAATTGTCTTCATTGATAGAAAGATATTTTTGGATGGTATCCAAAAACAAAATTATCAAATTTACCCTATAACTAATTAGGTTAGATTACCTTTTCATTCTAACAACCATTTTTCTGATACTATGTTTGATTTAATACATGTTGATATATGGGGCTTTTCATACCCCTACATATAATAGAGAGATACTTTCTAACATTAGTAGGTGACCATAGCAGGTTTCCAAGGCTATAACTTCTAAAGAAACACAAATCAGTATAATTACGCAGTTTTTTGCTTATGTAGAGAAAAAGTTTGCTACTAACATAAAATATTTCAAGTGCCTTAAAGTGTTTGGACTTTGAATGCTTATGCTATACATCCACACTTCCATCAAAAAGACGCAAATTATATACACAAGCCACTGCCGCTATTTTACTTGGATACCCGGGGGTTATAAATTCTAAATGCTACAAATTATATGATATTGAAAAATCCATTTCTATCTCCAGAGATGTTTGCTTCCATGAAGGCATTTTTCCTTTCAAACTTCTAATTGTTCCATTTCCTTGACCTTGGTCCTTGTTGTCCGAAGCCCCTCCCCATCAATTTCCCTCTTCTTAACCAAATTCATCACAAAAATCCTGCTCCAAATCTTCAACCTAACCATAATTCAGACACCTTAGCAGATACATAAAATTCGTCTTCATCCAACTCCTCACACAGCCGTAATTATAACGGTCCTAAGGTAGAAAATAATCTGGGCATTATCTTGGAAAAAGACTCTAAAATACGTGTGAAAATGGGGACTACTTGCATTTGGACAAAAAGATCCTATGAAACTTCAATTTTTCCTAAAATTTTGGACTTTTTCTGCGCAGCTTAGGCGGAGGTTAATGAAAGCCTCTTTCTTGGGTGGCCAAAGCCTCTCACTCTTGACGAACTAAAATTCAATTGCATCTAGAAGATCTTGTCTTCATAGATTGCTCACCCATTTAAGAGATTTCCAATTCTTAGGTTCAAAAATCAGTAGGAATAAAACATAATAACATCCCGTTTTTTTTTTTTTTTTGTTTCTTTGACTATCGCTCCCGTATCTGTAGTTGTAATCTATTCCCCCAATCATATGTTATTCCGTTTATTTCATTATGTACGCAAGTTATTTGTAAGGCAGTGGATATAAAGATCTATTGTACATATCAGTTGGTCAATCAATGAGAATCATTTCTTTCATTCCTTTTCATGCTATCTGACTCAATAACTTGAGTTGAACACCCCCCCACCAAGGCAAGGCAGAAAATATATAGGACAGAAAATCCAAGTTATTACGTATTGAAGGCGGCTGTGAGTCTATGACAAAGGAACCAAGAAATGTCAACAAGGCTGTCCATTCAGCAATCCACTCCACTGGTTATATATATGATCCAACTCCCAATACCGTCCGAATGCTATTGAAAATATTTGCGGTCCTTAAGCATTCTGTTTTCTATTTCCTATTTCATGTGTTTCATCTTTCTTGGTTTCGTAATAAATTATCATAAACCTTGTTGACATTTCTTGGATTCTAGTAATTAGGGATATTTTGGTGCTATCATCCAATCCTAGCATATCCGAAATTACTAGAAGCCGTTTCAAATTTATTAACTAGAGGAGCTAAATACTAGTCTAATAAGATGAATTTACTGGTCAATATTATCCGTAATAGAAATAAGAGAGACAGAAAACATAGAAGCTCGATAATTACAGTGAAGGAAAAACATGATTTATATAACAAGCACAGAAGCTCCAAAATTGTCCTCCCGGAGCTCTTATACAATGAGAAACATACAAAGGAAAATACCAAAGCAAGGATTCCTAAGAGAAAACGGAAAATGAAAGTAAAAGGAAACCCAACAAGTATAGGAATTAATCTGGCAATCATGGCCCCTTGCATGCATGTCTTACTGTACAATAACATAACAATAAAGCAGACAACTCAAGGCCAGAACTAAGCCAAATAACTTCCTTCAAAGTTTCAGAGTCAAATCTGGTTTTGAGTTCTCTATGTCTAAAGGTGGATTCACCTCAGTAAAACTCAAATTTGAACTTCCAGTCAGTATGAAATTCGGATGACTATTGCTTGCCTCAGCAACCTGACGAAAACTACCAGGCCACAACAAATCTGACTCGTCATCCTCCACGAATATTGGGAGGCCAACATACCCTTGATCAAATCTTGCATTGTTTTTCACCTCAGGAGGCCTCATCGTTGGGGTGAAACCATGATGCAGTGAAGAGTGTGCCTTTATGCCTAAGGACCTGAAAGAACCATGCAGAGGGAGAGATGCTAAATTGGCATACCTTTCAGAGAAAAATCCCATTCTCATAGCCCTTTTTGCCAATGTTCTTTCTCTCTTGTGTGCGTTCTGGTGTCCACCAAGAGCCTGAGAGCTGAAAAACTTGCGCTGACAGTAATTGCAAGAGAAGACTCGCGGAATGGTTGCAGCTGTAGTTTGAGAGGCAGGTTCGTTGCTGCTCTCACTAGTGCTTGAGAATGAGAATCCTATTGAATCTCTTGCCCCTGGCTCACTATTCTTGAACTGGAGAGTTAAGTCAAGTGAAATAGCATCTGAATTAGGATGAACCCCTAATGGATTTGTGATGTTGGAAGAGTTAGTGAGGCTATCACTACAAGGACCTGCAGAGGTTTCTTGAATAGATACATTGGAAGCAACCTGGCTGCTAACCTCAGATTCATATTCTGCACATGCCTCCACTTCAAGATCAAAGTTTGGTTTCATGATTTAGTTGTGCTTAAGTTAGAATCTAATTTACAAAATAGGAGTGGCAACTAACTACCACAGTATTCAGAATAAGATCTATTTCTGAGCTTGCACTGGGATATTTATGTAACCCTGCAATTACGTAAGCCATGAAAATCAATCAGCGAATATTTAGCAATCATCAGAACAAATAAATTCTTGAGTCAGTATTGATACTGTTAAAAATTACTAGATACTCGTCCAAGTACCATGTTTTGTGATTCATGTGCCTTGAAAATGGGCTTTCACTGCTTGAAAAACAATTCTACTTGTTGATGCTTGTTTGTTTCATGATATGTTTGGCAACCAAATGTAAAATAAACAAGCACTAAATATTGTGGAGATTCTGATTGAATACAAAATAGGTTCTATATGCAGTAAAAGCTATTGGTAAGAACAAAATGGATTTTACACAGCAGTGGCAATAACCCTATAATCAAGAATACAAACAAAACCATGTTTTAGTTATATTTTTCGGAATTTATGATGACTTGAATTATACATATTTGGTAACAAAATGTAATGGTTGAATTCCTTAATTATTTTGAACAAAAAATCCAACAATCCTAGATTCTGCCTTTTCAGTTTTGTCCAGTAAAAAATTCAGATAAACAAGAACACCAGTTGCTGAATATGAAATATTCAAAACCGTCCAATTTACAAATGTATGGTCGAATATTTGAAATCCAGGTGTAACTAGATATGGATGCTTATTTAGATTGGAGAAAACATTTGAAACACCTTTGGCATGGAACTAATCCTGATTGAATCTTCACATATGCTTATTATACTGCCTGCCCTTTTGCCAGTAAGTGATATATTGAAATGAAGAAGCAAGCAGACATGTCATGAAGTTCACGAGCTATTAATTAACCAATATTAGTGTTTTCACATTTCATCATGGCCAAAGTATCATCAACGATCCAGGAAATCAAATTCTTGTCATTTGTTAACTATAATCAGTAACCTACTACATCTAATCTGGAATCAATGTTGAATCTGATAGGGAGATTCTTTCTAATTATATATTTCCAAGGACTCGTTGACTTAGAAGATTGAACCTCGTAGGTGCACCTCAGTCCCTTGATGTGAGAGAGAGAACACATCCCTCGGGTTAACTTCAACTTCGTCAGTTTGTTAGTGTAAGTCAAGGTTTAGAGACAATAAGACCACCATCCAGCACACAAGACAGAAAAACAAAAACATTAATATGGAGATCCAACAACATCAACATATCCAAAACAAAGAATTGCATGCAAGTACTTGTTTCATATTTGTCCCTCCCAATTTTAGGAGGAAATCTACCGGGATTTTCATTCTGTATAAACAACCACAGTTTAGACACTAAAAAGGCCTACTAGTGATAGTTTAGAGAGGAAAATTACTTTGGAGCCTTAGCTAGAAACGCAGAGTTTGGTGGTGGTGACATGATATGAAGTTTGAAGGTAAAATCCACAAACCATTTCCTTTATTCAGTGATTCAAACTCATCTAAAAACCAAGAAAGAGTTGAGACAAGCAGAAGTGGAAAAATAAAGTTGGACAAGCAGTACTTAAGTTCAGAGATGACAGTGCAAGAAGTGTTGCATACCCTCTCAAATTTCAAGATCAAGTGAAAGTGGCTTGCTTCTGAAATCACCAAAAACCTGCTTTGGAATTGGAGACATCTGTTTCCAGTGTAGCTTTCCTAGCTATGACTGTTTATGAGAAGACAAAAGTGGTCATTGTGTTTTCTATGTTTCTGAAACACTAATAGAGGGTAAGGTGTGAACTTAGATATTTTTTTAATTGAGAAGTTTAACTGAAAAGGAATAAAAAGCAAAGGAGGAGTAAATGGGGAGAGAGAGACAGATCACAGATGGGCATTGATGTTTAATTATGGCAAAGAACAGGTAAGAAAGAAGTGGAGAGTTGGGGAACAGAGAAGTCAGAGGAGAAAAGGAGGTTTTGGGATATATAAAAAAGAGAGAGTGGAAGATATCATCAAATTAATATGCTACAGTCTTTTGAGTGTGAGGCAGTGTACCTCAGGATTTTTTTATTTTTTTTCAAGTTCTATGCTATGTATGACCCTTTATGCTATTCTTTTTTTTATTTTTTTTATTTTACAAGAGTATCTATGAAATTATAATTTTTTTGATTCTTATAAATCCAACAACACAATCAAGAAAGTTTACACACTTAATTATCATGCTTAACTAATTGAATTAGTCCGTATAAATTTATACATATCACTCTAGATTCTTATTATCAAACTCACCATAATAATTTTATTTATACCGTGATTTAATCAAAAATTATTATATAAGACAAATTTATTTTAAAAATAATATACACCATGATTTCTACTATACTGTGCATAAAAATCATACCTTTTTCCTTTTCTTGTTTTTGCAATTTTGGGCTTTTCTGAGAAGCTAAGAAGTAAGAGGTAACAGCTGCTTTTTCCCAACTTACAAAGTTCAAACTAAAACTAGGTTGATCGTACGTACATGGTATGAGGAAGAAGCGAAAAAACAAGGCAACAACAGTGTAGTCATTATTCCCACCAAAGATTCTCTAGCCTCTAGCTTCCTTTCTCTCTCCATCTCCACCACTTCAAAAGTGTTTCAGATAACACCACAATGCATGGGGTCAGGTTTCAAAGTTTCATGTTTGGTTCCATCTAGCACGTCCAACATAACTACTCCCCTCATCCTACTCAGACCATAGCATATATATTATTCATGGCATGTACTATGATATACCATTATTTATTTCTTAACAACTCCACTCACAATAAATAATACACCCAGTGTCCTTCCCTTCCCAACAACCGTTTTATATATTTATGAATTATGTGACCCCAACCCCCTTTTTTTCATCCTCATAATCTTTGCAAAAATTTCCTCGATGGTCGTTCCATTTTCTTTCAATTATGAAGATAGCAATTAAGTCATGTGGATCGTGTACGGTTTGGCCTTATTTTTTAATATTATATTAGAACAACAAGAGTTGGACAATTTTACCAAGAATCAAAATATTCCGCTAGAAAATATACCTAAAAGGAATTGTCAATAGAATTGGAACATGTATGGTTCTTTGTTCGGGCAAAAGGATAACAATTTGTGCCATTACGTAGGATATAGGAAACCAAGTGGATATAATCGACCCATCAAAGGAAAGAGATTGGAGGGTTTCTTCCATATGGCCTTCAATCTCCATCATTAACATGACAGTTTTTAGAAGATAATGGGATGGTCCATTATTCCACGCACGAAATTATAGAAACATAATGGCCATAGATCCAACATTTGCTCTTTTCAACTAGGAAACGCCCTTTTTTCTTTCCTTTGATCTTTAATTTCAGCCACGCGAGTTGTCATCTCTTGTGAGTACGAGCATGAATATATGGGTCACAGAAATCCATCATGGTAGACTATCTAACATTATCATCATTCACAATCCTATATATCTTTCATAAAAGGGAAAGGTGCTTATTTAATATCAGTCATGCCCTCAATATGATTTGAAATAATTAACAATTTTTACTTACACATGCAATTGTCTGAGCACAACTTGTGTACAATTATTACATGGTTACCCACAAGAGTGCTTTAAGTGGTAAAAAAAAGTTTGATTACAACAGTTGATAAGATTTTACATTATCACTAAATCAATAGTTTAGCGAATTATAACATGAAAGCACATGTAGGAAGCAAGGGCTTCTGTTTGATAGCCAAAAAGTGTAGTGAAAAGGTTAATTTTTACTCCATCTATTCTCTTTTATAAGAAAAAGAAAAACGTTTTTTCTCAAATATAACCAAATTTTAATTATTTTTACTTCTTTTAATAACATTTTATTAAATATCCTTCTTTTAATGTATACACATTTGGTTGCAAAACTTTTTTTTCTTCTCACATTTATAATAAGATTAATTTAAGAAAAATATTATACAATTAGTAAAATTTAATACAATTAACTGATTTCTTAATTTGTAAAATCAATTTTTTACATAAAAGAGAATAGAAAGAATATATACTATTAGTGTATAAAAAAATATTATCAATTAATTAGATATTATAGTAAGTAAATTTTTTTCAATCTAAAAAGGGTAAGTAAATTTTTTAAGATATTTATTATATAATTAAAAAAATGAATTATATATAAAAATTTCTGATTAGATAATACTATAAAAATTCTTTTTAGGGTCAATGTATTGTATATATCATCCTTAAAATAAATAAATTAAGGGAAGGGGGGGCTTGATAAATATTGCTACGAATTTAAACATTTTTTCAATTATTATATAGTAAAACGTGGTTGGTGGTAACATCAATTATTACGCGATGACCAAAGTAGAATAATATATAAGTCCCATTTTTGTCTAAAGTGTAATAATATATAACAGCTAATTTTCTAATATATTTTTGGTTAGGTACTGTAGACATATACATAAGCCATTGCGATTGGAGCATCATATGGATAATGGATCCAACATGGGATCTATTGTACGGTTACAATCACAACGGTACTCCAATGCAACAAAAAATAATCAATAGTTTTGGACGAATATGCCTACAACACGTCGATTTGGTTTTCCAAATAATGCAAAAGGATTTGTGTATGTCTTGGTGTTCCATTTCTTTTCAAACTTTGGTAAAATAAATGCGTACAAATACAACACTGTCTTCACACACTTCAATGTTTAGCAGATGTCAAGGAACCACCTCTGTTTTAGTTTTAGTATTTTGAGATTAATTCCCTTAATTTATGTCGAAGAATCGTACAATTTATATTAGTATAACAAACATTGCTTTTCAGTTTTCACAGTGATTGTGTTATGCACTAGCAAATAATAATGCATAATATAAGGATTGGCAAGGTTGAATTAAACCATCCTATAAATTAATTCGTTTTTCACACTTCTTTTCAAGCTAAATTTACTTACAAATCCTTTCGAATGTTCTCTTATATACACAAATCAAGGAATTCAAACTTGTATCACATTCTAATAAAATATTGATCTAAATATAACTGGACTCAATTTTTTTAAATAAGGTTTTAAATTTAAATTTTCTGTATAAAAAAATTCATTAAAATGGATAAATTTACTTTAAGGGTGTTACTATTTAAGATTCTACTGGTTCAACTGGAAAAAGGAAATCCTAGATGGTATCTTTACACACAAGTATAAGAGCAGATAGTTCATAGGATCCCATCTGAAGTGAATGCAGAAGCTTCAGAGAGACAAAATTTGGCAGCAAGCTCTTGCCTTTTCATCAACTCACTCCATTTGATGTCAGCATTATACTTCATTGTAATCTTAAAAGCACCAACCATGCATCGACCATATAATAATAGTTTAAATTGGAAGGAACTCGGAGCAATTAAATGAATGAATGGAGAAAGAATATTAGAGAGAAGCACTTGTCTAAAGGGTTGACAAGGCAGGGCTTATAAAGAAGTATACCTATCTTACAAAAAGTGCTTTATGAAGAATATATCTTGGCAAAATTGGATCCTGCATCATGCTTTTGGGTTGAACCAACCAAAGTTAACACATATTTTAATGGGGCATTAGAAGCTTAAGCACATGTTCAAAGAGGATTAGTCTTTTTACACCCAAAAAGATAGAGAAAGTAGGAAAGGGTAGTGGAGAAAGAAGGGCCTCATATATGCTTCTCAAATCAAACCAAATTTTCTATGATTTAGGCACTAAAAAGAATTCCTAGGCTAGGGGAACGCCAATGCCTAGTGATTAGCCCATTAAGGCCTAAGCACATGTCCAAAGAGAGAGTGATCAAGATTAAATATTAAACAAACCAATGACAAATGCAACCTAGACACGTATGTTGGATCCTTGTCCAATCAAAATCTGTTTAGGGTAATAGAAAAGTAAGAAGGGAATAAACAATAGAATGGAACAGTACTTTTTTCTCAAGAAACTAACACCAGGTATAAGACAGTGCCAAAGACAACACAATTTAATGAATCGTGTCTAGTATCAATCTTCTTGTGTTTGCTTTTACCCTGTCACATAAATGGCACGTGACCAAGTGACACTCTAACTTTTGGTCATGGCAGTTAGAGACAAGTTCATCTTTCCGTCGTTTTGTTCATCTCCCAAGACGCCGCTAGTCACCATAACTAGCTCAAATCGGTCCCCCACTTCATATCTCATATTATAAACTCTAATGCATAGCTTAATCAGCATTGGTATCAATATTGCAGTGCTGAAAATATACATAATATATAACTCTAGTTGATAATTACACTCTACAACTACTAGTACTCACACATAGTATATTATAAAGCAAATTCTTCCACTTGGTTGGTGACTTTTTAATATATTCTCATGCTTCTTCGCTTTACAATTGTTTACCATAAACATGTAGGTAGTGCTGATTAGTTAGTGTCCACTAGAGACAAGGATTAGTCGCATATGCTCAGTTTTGATAAGTATTCATAGCAGTACCTTTTCCTATGTACAAATTACTGTCAAACACATGTTCATGATTCCGATCTATTGGAGGGCTTGCCTAGTAAGCTTCTATTCTATAATCTTTAACTAATTTTGCTGTAATGAACCCACTTAACTTTCTGTGTTGATTTTTTTGGTACCAAACTAATATTAGTCAGACACCAATGATTCTTAAAATCAGCCAATCTAATTGAAGAGAGTTATATCTTCATGTTATTAAAAAAATGTTATTTGATTGATTGACGGTTGCTGAAATGTAGCCAAAACAACTGGACGAGAGGGTGGAAGCAATATATTTACACCTGACAAGATTGATAATATACTGTTTGTGAATTTAAAATGCATACTTCTACTCTAGTACTACAACATGTGTATTCAAGCTTTTTTTGTTCTTGTTAATTTCAATTTTTTTTCTCCATTTTAAAAATACTATCCAGTACTCTTAAAACACTAACTAATGAATAAAAAAATACTGAAGGACATGATCGATGTTGAATGCTCGAGCCCTTTAACAATATTAGATCTATTTAGAATGTGGCTTTATCAATAATAGAAAGAAAAAAAAAATGTGAAACAAGAATGCACATGTGTTCACGTTAAGGATGGAATGGTTTAAGTTGTTT